TTGTATTATATTACATTTTACTGTGTATTATATTTTATTCTAGATTTTTGTTTTATTTTTTTTTTAAATCGTTTATTGTTTCTCTTGGTCCTCTCGACTCACAAGAAACTCGCATGGAAATGCATGCTGTTCTTTTCCCGCGATTTTGAGCTTTTATTTTTTTTACGCATTAAAAGTAAAAAATAAAAATAAAAATTCTTTCCCAAGAAAAATCGACTTTTCTTTTTCTAAGTAATCAATAAACTGATAAAAGATATAAAAAGTTAAACTTTATTTAAAATATTATTTTATAACTTTTATCGTAAAGGTTTCGAAAACATTTACTTAAAGAAACAAGCGAAAATGTCTTTTGTTATATTTAAGTACGAATCTGTCATGACAGAGAGAGAAAGAGTCACGTGGTTTGATACACGTGTGATGAACGCGGATAAGTGATGGAAGTGAAAAATCTTTTAATGTAGTGCACCCATATAAAGATATTTTTATCTGCTCCAAAAGCTCCGACAGCATGAAAGAGGATTACTCAGTGTTTTCGTCGAAATTTAGCGGGGGACCGAAGGGACTAGGTAATCTTTTTATTGCGTTTTTCGCGGCATGAAGTGGGGAAGTAACTTTGTCGCCGGTTGCGGAATATCGAGAACTATTGATGACAGGTTAGAGTTTTTAATCCCGACAGAGAGAGTTAAGCGCAACCGGCGACGGTATCTTTATACTCTTCGTATTCGAAGTCTGAAATTTGCTGACAATAAAAAAATAAGTATTTCTTATTCAGCAATTCACATATTCACTGGGGTCTCATGATCTCTCCTTCTTTCGGAATGTCAAAATATTTTATGTTTATTTTATATTTATTTTAGGTGATCCTAACGATAAAAGTTTAAGAAAGGTAGAGAAAGATGTGTTGATACCCAAGTTGATGCGAGAGAAAACCAAATCCGAAAAGTGTGTCAACGAGGTCAAAGGTAATTTATCTGGATAAATTTATCTGAATAAATTATTTGAGTGCATTCCTAAAGCGCATTATTTGTTGTCATGACTGTAGGATTTTGTTTAAGACTTTTGAATCTGGAAGGGAGGGTATAGTCAAATAATATGGATTATTGGGCTTGTTTTATTATTTTTAATTAATTACCAGCAAATGAATAAAAAAATTCATATATTTAATTTACTTTATTTTCTTTTAAAATTGATTTTTTAAATTGAAAAAACTCAAATTTATAGTATTAGCTTGGAGATTTTCAGAAAATCTTCCTATAATATAAGCCTCCAATTCTTTCTTCTTTTTCAAAATTAATTTCTTGTAAATACTTATTAAGCATAGTCTATTTAAACAGATTTAATTATTTTTGTTTTTCAAATTTATGGTTCCCTCCCCTCATCATAATCAAAATGACAACAAATAATGTTATTTTATTACTTGGCTTTGCGCTAGCGAGAGTCAAATGTAGTAAACATCTTCTTTTTCTTAGAATTCCACGATTGCTGTATCCATTCTGGTCTACTGCATGTCATAAAATGTAGGAAAGAAAATGATAAGATGAAGGCCTGCATGGAAAAATGGTACTATAATCAAGACTTTATTAAAGAATGCACAGAGCAATACCTGGAGGAAAGGAGTGAATTTAGAAAAACTGGTATTCCCAAGAAAAAAAACATTACACTGAAGAGCTCATCAATGTGAACATATAGATAATGAATTGGCAATTGTACAAAAATATTAGCGAGATTGTGTTTTTCACTTAACTTTTTAGATGTAACATCTGTGATTGATCTACCAACAATTCTACAATAAAAAAAAGCTTTAAAAATTGCTTAAAGATTGCTTTAATAAAGCTGAAAACGAATTATTGAAAGTTAAAATTATATTGATTTTGATTTTTGCATTGAAGTTGATTTTTACATTGTAATTGTCTACATAGTAAACTGTTTTAAATTGTTGCTTTCTATTGCTTCTACTTGTTGTATGGCAGTGTAAAATAGTATTCTATATATTGTAGTACAATCAAAATATTCTCAACGAGTATATTCCATATAGCACAGAGAGTTCGAAAAGAATTCAGTGATATGTCATCAATTTTGAGCTTATTTTCAGATGCAACAAGAATTCTTTTCAGAAAAAGAATTTTTTTTGCATCTGAATCACTGAACTCTTTGTGCTATATCTGGGATGATAAATATCTAATAATGTATTTTGTAGAAACAAAGATCTACAATATCTACAATACAAGATCTACAATATAATAGAATAAAAAAATAGACATTTGATAGAACTGGCACATGTTATCTTAAATAAAAACTTGTTTAAAAAATTGAGTCACGCGAATTTAATTTCCATATTCTTGTAGATTTTTAATTGACTTCGTTTAAATCGCCAATTTCTCGCATATTGTTCAAACTCAAATTTTGTATTTTGTGTTATTACGTACAATTTTTTGCAACATGTTTTAATTTAATCAGCGATTAACTTAGCAAATAATACTTTCAATATTTTAACACGAATATAATCACCAATTTTTGTCGCAAGAAAGAAGAAACTAAGAACGAATTACAGTTAAATAAATTAACAATTCTCAAGTCGATTGAAAATTGTCCATGTTTAAGAACGCAATCTGTAGAATATTTCGCGATTAGATTTATTCATTTTATCGACGATTTAATCGGCAGAATTGTTAATTTATTTAACTGTACAATTTGTTGTCTTATATTCTCTTCTTTCTTCGATAAAAAATGATAATTCTATCTGCATCGCGAGACTGAGAAGTCTAAAATAAGAAGCGCGAGAACGCTTTATTTAGAGGATTTCCGTAATAGAGCCGTCGTTATCATCGCTGCGGTCCACGTGGAGGCTGTAGATTCGTTTTCTCGGGGAGGGAGCATCGGCCGCTGAACGTCTGGCGTACGTTTTTCGTCCGCCGTACGATCAGCATGCAGAGGCGCGTCTCGTCGGTGTCGGTAGCGTCGTCGCGGTGCGTCCTCCCATAAACGAGCGTGGAAGGTGGGGGTGTGTGCTGAATTACGATCTTTCTTGCTGATGTGGAAGTCGCGCGAATCGTGGCGAGAGAAATCTCATTTTAACTCATCTATCGTTTCTTCATTCCGACGTAAGAAAGAAGAAAGTCTCGTAAATTCACCTAGCCTCTTGGTTGGCGATCTTTCCTTTTTTCTTTCTTCATTGCATCCTTTCCTTTTTTTTCTTCGTCGCGATTGCACGATCTCCATAGAATGCGAGCGCTCATGTTCCTCCAAATCTTAATCGGTTTCTCCATCCTGACGACGGCGATTCCGAAGCAGGTGATTCCTGACGGCGAGCATCGCATTTTAAACAAGGTTAGAGAAACTGTGTATTATTTTTGATAATTCTCTTTGATTGTTCTCGTATTCTATAATCGATCAAATAAAAGTCAGTCCTAATATTTGAAGCATTTTTTTTCTATAACAGAAAAGTGAAGTTCTATTGGTACGTAAGATGACATTGCTTTTTTTTTTGCAAGGGTGATGTCTCTTCAATTTGATGTTTCTTCAAGATGTTGTATTATATAGATAACACAAGACATTTTAAAATAGATACTAAATTATTTTTCCAATTTTCTTCATAAAATTGAATAAAATCTTAACTACATTCCATTCCAGCAAACGAGAATGAATTAAAATGTATTGAAATTTTTTTCTATCCATATTTTAAATAGCGAATACTTTTTTTGGATTTAATTGAATTTAATTGGATTGAAAAACTGCATTTCCTATTCAAAACTTTGAATTGAACAGTATTCACAATGTGTGTGTTGTGCACAGAAAAAGCTAATATTATTTTTAGATTGAAAGACATAGAGATGTGCTCCATGTAATTCCTATAAATGAATAAAAATGCATTCAGGATTGAAAAGCATTTATTTTAACATTCATGAATCAATATTTTTGAAAATCTGAATCGATTTCAATTCATGAAATCCATTCTCATTTGCTGGAATCTTTCTTTTTTAATTCACAAAAATATATTATCTTTATTAAAGATTTCTTCTTGTATTACTTTTATTAATTAGTTATAAGGAATAAAAAAAACGATTCAAAAACTTATCAAGTGCATTATATTCTAGGATGCAGGCAGTAAAGATCACTATGTTCACTCCCAACACAATCCAGCCTATGACCACGAAGCTTTCCTCGGAGAAGAAGCCAAAACTTTTGATCAGCTGACCCCTGAGGAAAGTACAAGGCGATTGGGGATAATTGTTGATAAAATAGACAAGGATAGCGATGGCTATGTGACGCAAGAGGAACTTAAAGACTGGATAATGTACACACAGCAACGTTACATCAGGGATGATGTGGAGCGTCAGTGGGTATCCCACAATCCGATGGGGAAGGAGAAATTGTCTTGGACGGAATACAAAGACATGGTTTACGGTGATATGGAAGAACAAGAGGTGGAAAAGCGAGAAAGCGACAAAACGGACGAGTCGTTTTCGTATGTCCAAATGTACAAAAGGGACCGCAGGAGATGGACCACTGCGGATCTGGATGGTGATGATGCTCTGACCAAAGAAGAATTCACTGCCTTTCTTCATGCAGAAGATGCGGAGCATATGAAAGACGTGATAGTGTTGGAAACAATGGAGGATATTGATAAAGATCAAGATGGAAAGATATCTCTTGCAGAATATATTGGTAAGGGGAAATTATCATTGCCCTGATGAAAATTTTTCCTAAAATTTTTTATATCAATTAGAACATTTTTCAGAAATATTGAAAAAGTCTGTATCTTTTTTAATTTTTTATATATGTATAAATTCTATAACATTCTAAGATTTTTAAGATTTCTCATTCTATAATTTCTGAAAAAATACTTTCAATTTTTTCAGATTTATAAAATTTTATCAGAAGTTATAGAATAAAAAATTTAGAAATCTTATAATATTTTAGAATTCACTTATATGAAGAATTTTAGAAAAGATATGTAGATTTTCAACAATTTTTACTAGTAATATGAAACATGGGTTATTCGAGCTGGATATCTTTTGCTAATAATAAACAAAATCAATTATTAAAATCAAACGTATAATTATTGAATTTTCACTAGAATATTGTTCTAAAAGTAGTTTAAACAGTTCTTAAATTTTTAATTTGTCCGTAGGCGATATGTACAGAGGCGAGGAAGGTGAAGAGGAACCAGAATGGGTAAAGAATGAGAAAGAACAATTCTCCTTGTATAGAGACAAAAATGGGGATGGATTCTTGAACGCTGACGAGGTAATTAATCATTCTTTATATCATTGTTGAATAAAAATGTATATTCAAAATATTGAAGAGGATTACATTTTTGATGAATTAATCTGATAAAACTGATTTCGATAAAGTCCGAATTCCAATCTAAAACAGGTAAAAACGTGGATTATTCCTGCGGAATTTGATCATGCTGAGGCGGAGTCGAGGCATTTGATCTACGAAGCGGACACAGATGCGGATCATAAACTGACGAAAAGCGAGATTTTAGAGAAATATGACATCTTTGTCGGATCACAGGCGACGGACTTCGGCGAGGCATTAGCGAGGCATGATGAATTTTAATGAGACGTAATCTCATAAGAAAGAAATCACTAATGAACAAATTACTTATAATACTTAAATCTACTTAAGATATATAGTTTATCTAAGAAGAAGAATACCTATATTTACTGTAATAAATAGATTTTTATATATCGTGGTATTTACATAATTGATATCGTAGAGAGAGATGCATAAAATATGCTATAATATATCTGCCAAAAATTGTAAATCTCGATTAGTTGTTATAATAAATTTTTTATATCATTGTATTAATTCTTCATTGTTTTTTCCATATATTTTGAGAAGTATTAACTTTTCTCTCTGCGTCAATCTAGTACATAAATAGGCACAAGTGCCATAGTCAATTCTGACTAAATCCGTTCGAAGCGAAATGTAAAGAATATTAATAGCCAAAACAGAAGCTTAAATAATTCACAAAAAGCAAATTTTTACAAAACATTTTAAAAATCAATAGGGTTAATCATCTTTTATCATTTTTACGTTTCCATGCTATCATGCTGTATATTGATAACGATTATCATATCTAGAACATTGTATGATCATGATCGATTTTATCAGATAAGTCTCCAATGTCCCAGCAACGTGATAATCCGCGATATCGATATGTGAATTAACTCTTAAATATGTAAAAATGAAAGAGGTATATTTGGTTGTGCTTTTAACGATTTGCACATACGTATTAGGTAAGTATATTTATTTCTTTTTACAACATTACACGCCTCGATAATATCTTATAAATGTCGCACGCTAAGAATACCAAATAACAGCGCGTAACTTTCCAAGCCGTTAGCAATATATTGTAATGTTAGCAATATATTTTCATTTAAGTTGGAGTAACCGATCAAAAATGTTAAAATTATTATTTATTAGTTTTCATTCGATATTCAGCCGGTATAAGAATAAATCGCAAGAAACATCTATTTGCATACATACATGCACATATAGAACATTAAGACAATTCGCATTGTATAATTGTTGTGTACATATATGTATATAATTACGTACACATAGCATGTAATTATATATAAAAATTATATATAAT